CCGATACGGCGGATTATATCCGTTGTCGCCAAACACGAGTACATAATATTATTATTGAGACAGGGCGGTACTCAAAGTTCCAAAGGGCTATAACTTTGTTACTTTAATTTTACCAGAAAAATGGTAAAGGAAAAAAACATTTCTTTTGATCAGATCTACTCACTGTTAAAATAAATGACTCAACTTCGAAGTCACCCTGTATATACTCGACGGAGCCAGGCAACTTTATGTTATGGCATATAGGCGAGTCTAGTAAAGAATAAAGGGTCTGATTTGTCAATGCAACTCACGAACTCAGAAGTACACCATTTTCCTAGCATATCCCTTCACGATGATGACAAGCCGTTATATTATTAAAGCTGCGAGTTCGAATCACTCAGGTTCCAAGACCATTCACGTATGTACCTCATCTTCAATACCTATGGAGAGACATGTTTACATGTTTTGTAATCTTGAGGATTTTCCGAGGGATTGTTGAATTGTAATTTTATGTCATATATCCGATGAAGCTTTACCATTGTTTGAATGGGGTATCGCTATTGGACATTCATCAAACCCTAACAGTAGATCACTGCTAGCCTTTGGGAATCGACACAGTGGTTACGAAATTAAAAAAAAAAAATACGATAAGACTGCAGACTAATTGATAATGAAGTGAAAAGGGTGTCAGAAGCACGTAAGTCACACCAACAATGGAAGCTCCGTATCCTATCCTATATTTAGACTCATGAAATATTTATCGTAATAATTATCTGATGACGAAAGGTTTGAATGAATAATATCAGTCAGACAGGCTATAAATATGCACTCGGGCGATTGTGTAGTTTTTTACAGGACCCAATGAAGGTGTATGGTAAAAACGTATATGGGTACATTATGTTTTTAGGATGTTATATGACATGTACATCACGAAAAACCCACTCATTTAGGTCGGTCTGTCTGTCCGCTACTTCTTGGCCCGTCTATGAGTTGAGAAGTACCGCTCAGATTTTAATGAAACATTGCTGCTATGCCAACGACAAAAAAGCGTTGTAGCTTTTGGAAATCGGTCCAGTAATAGATGAAAAAATATCCTATCCTATCCCCGGTAGTTCTATGCACCCATTCCATATTTCACACATCATGTATTTCCGCATGTCCTCTCACTAAGGATGATGATGAGAAATGTTTCCGATTCGCGTACCGAAACGCAAAAAAACATATAGACGGGCTACGGATCACGGCACAAAATGAACGGTATATCGCTGCAACGATGTCGCGCTGGGCGCTGGCGCGCAGGTTCGGAAAGGGACAATGTTGCCCGCTGAACGGTAACTACCGATAGGGCAGGAACAATTATGTCTATGGACTAGTTGTATAGACCCGTTTGACTTACTCCATCCGTTTAGTTTCTCTGTTTTGGATATTCGTCACTGACTTTTTTCTCAAAGGATTTGAATTGCGCTGAACTTAATCCTGTATGAACCTACGACGTTGCAGCGTGGGAAGTGCAGGGTCAAGCTACGCCATTTTTTGATGTATCTGCAAAACGATTATAAATTCTCGGCGTGATTTTTTACTGACTCGGTGACAACATATTTTGTATATTTCGAAAACTGTTTCAATGTACACAAGGCTATGTTTATATCAAGGTTGCTTGAAGTCATACTTCCTAGCTCAACATATACCAGATGCAAGCTCAATGGCCGTCAATTCCATGAACAATCCTGGGGTGCTTTCTACTTCTGCATATTATGATTATTCCATGAACAAGTTGCACAAATGTTTTAGAGGTTACAAAGCGCTTTACGGATCGTAAATATTTATGGGTATATCATTTAGCAGTTTTAAGCTTGCATCATGTGAATGAGATCTATACTATACGGGATTTTTAGTTTACAGATGCCAGAACGTCACGCAAAATTTAAATTAGTTTCCAGTTTCATTTTGTTATAATACGTATAATACGTAGAAAATCGTTAGCTGTAAACTGATTGTGCGTGAGTCAATTGACATGAGGTCTATTCCCTTGGATGGTAAATTAATTAGCGATCGGTAATCTGACTCTTTCATGCCGATACGTGGAAGAGTTTTGCTCTCCTACATAGTGACATCGAGTTCTAGGCTTGTCAGATCAACCAGTCAGCCTCATTTCACTCATTTTCACTGTTCAGTTTTGTACATCGAGATTTGGCCATTAGTTTATTCATAGGTACCGAGAATAAATGAATGCGCCAGAGATATAGTCAACGCCAAACAAAGTGGCGTGCACGTCATCACGATAAAAATTCCCCGACCTAATGCCTAGGTTTCTATCACAAACAATTGCTCTATTGCAGTTTCATATTAATGTGATATATAAATTGTAAAATGGTCATTACTCTCTTATTATGGTTAATAGTCATATAAACATTGTTATTAAAATATCACATAAGTTGTTTTCTGATAAATTTAGACGCATTATGCGAAATAAAATGTTTTGCAAACGCTCCAATCACTAAACTTATCGACATGTAAACGCACTAAACCGATTTCGCAGCGTTGACACATTGTCACCTTGAAACTTATTTAAACTGGGAACTGACATTTGTATTAATTTTGACACTGAATCAATTTGTGGCATTTCAAATCTTTATAAATCCTTTGGCCCCGCATACTGTAAATCAACAACTGTTTGTTTCAAAACAAAATTATTCATTTTACGAGTAGATAAAGGCAATTTTGGTATATAAAGATGCCCAAACAGTTAAATAGTCGGTGTAAGGAACTCGTGGCCTCGTTAATGCACTACTTTGAGCAAGAAAGGGACAACAACGGGCCTTTGTTGCCTTTAAATGCTGTTCAAGAGGTAGGTTACTAATAATTATATGTAATGTATATTAATAATAGTGAAATTTTATTTCATTTTTTGTAGCGTGTTGCTGCTGCTTTAAAAATTAGTTTAAGGACAGTTAGTCGTATTTCCGAGGGTGTGAAAAGTGATGCAAATTTAGAATCGCCCAAGAAAAAGCGGAGTTATATTAAACGTGTAACCAACACAGCGACATTGGATACAAGTGCCATTCGAGAAGTGATCTATAATATGTATCACAAAAGTAAGATCTTATTATAATAACTTATCAGAAATTTGCATTAATTTGTTAACTAAATTATAATGTCATATTACACATGGTTTCAGAAGAACAAGTTACGATACAAACTTTATGGTCTCGATTAAGAGATAGGGCATTATTTGATGGTAGTGCCACGTCTTTAAGGCGGTTGCTTAGAGATCTTGGATTTAAGTGGGTTAAGGACAATCCGCGACGAGGGCTCATGGAACTACCAAGTATAGCTTTGAAAAGGGTGGAATTTCTAAGGCAATACAATCAAGCCAAGGTTGAGGCCTTATACCAGTTTGTCTTCCTCGATGAAACTTGGATATTTCAAAATGGGACCATAGGTCGCTCTTGGCAAAATGGAAACCAAAAAAGCGTGAAAGCTATTAAAACAGATGGTAAAAGGTATGTACTTTTACACAATTTGCACTATAAAATTTAAAACTAATATATTTTAGATACATTATATTACATGCTGGAAATGAAAATGGGTTTATTGAGGGTAGTGAAGCGATATTTTCTTCGAAAACAAAATTGAGCGATTACCATGGAGAGATGAACCAGGACAATTTTTTGAAATGGTTTCAACATCAGTTATTAGAAAAATTGGAGAGTCCATCTATGATTATACTGGATAACGCCCCTTATCACAGCATGATATTGAACAAAGTGCCCAACAATGCATGGACAAAAAAAAATATCCAAGACTGGTTGACAAATCAAAACATACCATTTTTAAACACAATGTTTAAAACAGAGCTATTGAGTATTGTTGCTCGGTACATAATGCTTCTTAATTATATATATTTTGGTCGACAGTTTATATTTCTTTTGTTTATTCCTATTCTTAAAATAACTGCTTTTTTAGAAACAAACCACCTAAAATATACGTGATTGATGAATTGGCGGAACAACATGGGCACAAAGTTCTTCGTCTGCCTCCTTACCATTGTATATTTAACCCTATTGAGTTAATTTGGGGCATAGCAAAAGGTTACTATAACAGACATATTGGTAGAGATGGTAACAGTGAAAAAGACTGTTTGGGTATGTGGAACGAGGCTCTACAAACGGTTACCCCAGACATGTGGAAAAATAGTGTTCGACATACTGAGCAAGAAATTTTTAAATGGTATGAAAGAGAACGAATTTTTGATCGACCAGACATCGAACCTTTAATAATCAACTTTGAGAGTGATGAAGATTCAGATTCAGACAGCGCTGAAGAAAGAAACTCCGACTAACTTTATTGTACAGAAAAATCTTACACCAGTAGCTTACCTAATTTTAGAATGCATTTTTCTGTATGAATTCTGTAAAATAAATACCATGCATAAAATTTGGAGGACCCCATTTGGATTTTTATTCAGTACCTTTAAGCTATCAATTAAATATGGTAGTTTCATAGTGTCATCTGATCAATAATTGTCATACTTAATGATTATGCAAGTACAGATCTATAATTTTATTATACTATTATTTTTGTTCTCATTTGAGGTTAATATTGCTTATAAACCTAGATATGTAAATAATAAATTTTATTATTTTACAAAAAGTTTGGCAACAATGTAAATTTTTCAACACACCCACCTTGATGACGTGCACGCCACTTTGTTTGGCGTTGACTATAGCAATTTTGACAGTAAACAGACTGTTCGTTACGAACTTCAGGATAACGCATGCTGATACCCCGAATTGCCAATACGGACGGTATCAGCATGGAAGTAGGGTTTTATACGTTTCCATTACAACAAAATACACTGGATAAGCTTTCGGCTATATTTTTTTAAATTATGAAAAAAGTGCCTATGAGGCCTCCAAGTTACCATCTACTATCACAACATTTTCAGGGTAATGTAATGTAAACGTAATAGTCCGATATCTATTTACTTTTTTATCATCATATTTTTGTTTCTTTTTTAGAGGAAATACATAGCAGCTGTCTTAGCAACTACTCGACAAGGCTCAAACGTATATAGGTATGTGAAAATATGTGTTGAAACTATAGGTATATATAAAGAGAGCCACTTTGCTGTCCAGGTAATTTTAAACACCTTGTATAATCATGAGTATTTTAGAAATATATCCCCACAGGAACAAGTGTAGTTTGTTTCTTGGAGCAACACTCCATACATGCAAGCTTTGGCCACCCTGTAAATATGACCTGCAATTTTACTAAACCGTCCAGTAGGTATGATAGTCAGAACGTAAATAACTATCAAAGAAACCCTCACGTGTTGTGTAATGAACGCACAATAAGCTGTATGCATAGACGCTGTAATAGGGCGTGGACCTTGAATCTCGGAAACTGGAGGGCTGCGTAGCCAAGTGGTTACGCGTCGAGCTACTAATCGGTCGACCCGAGGTTCGTGGGTTCGAATCTACACCTAGGAAGTTAATTCTGAGCCATCGATGTTGTATTGCGTGTTGCCTATATCACGCAGCAGATCGATGCCAAATCAACATGTGTTGGTACTTCGCATCGTTGGAGCTGATATATTCAATTATCAGTCACCAGTTGATGGCTTGTGGAGTAAGTGGTGTACGATGACTACTACATCTCAGGAACTACCCGCTGAAAAAGCTTAGGCCCATGGACAACATACTATGTTGTTCAAAATTGGCTGAAGGCGATTTTCGACAATGTCCCTGAGAGGCCTTATGCCGCAGCTTGCGGGACAAACATTTCAGTTTGCTCCACTCTTTTGTACGGAAAAAATGTTGAGATATCGAAGTAAGTATTCCGGGCGCGTTTTGACAGTCCGCAGTAGGTTGCGGCACATGCGCTCGGCCATGTGCGCCTCAATATAAACCAGCTGCAGCCACATACGGCTGTCACATGTGCTTGTAACTTTCCTATTGGTAACCTACCTTTAGGAGTACGTTACAACCGCAATACATCAGTCGATGCGTGCTTTTGATCATGAACTGTATTTAATGGAATGGAGTGCTAATCCAATAAACACCATTTCCAAAATTATACAAAAAAGTTGGGTTTATGGATGGTGTTACTACAAAAATCTCTATCTCAGATTTTATGTTTTGGCTTGAGTGATAGGCTAAACCGGTCCTGATTCCTGTCGCAAACTGGCACTGACTCAGATCCGATTGATCCTTTGGCGATAATGGAGCCATTCGGGAGCGGACGGGTTCCCGCTTGAACCGAAATCTAACGTCCATTTAAAAAATTCCATTACGGTTTCGTGTGCATTCAGGTACAGATCGATCGCTCGAATGCGAAAAGGATGGTGTGGCCAGTATAGCTTAGAAGAAGTGTGCCAACTTGCTAACATTACCGGATTAGCCGTTAGCTACTTACTAGTCTCACTTTTTTCCTTCCCAGGCCAGTTGACGAAGGAGTATTGTAACACGAAGAAATTCTAAACGGAAATATATTCTATGGATGTTACGTGACATATACAGGGTGTTCCTTAACGCTATGCGAATATTTAAGGGTTTGAATCGACATGAAAAATTAATGTTAGTTTGCTTTATAAACTATGGTCCAAAAATGTTTCCTTACAAAAACTCGAGGTGTTGAAGTTTTAGGAAAATAATGGAAATTAATTAATATTTTCAGAACCGCTTCAGATATTTCAGTGATATTTAGTACGTAGTAGAAGTTAATAAAGTTGCATATTTTTCAATGCAAAAACAATGTTTAGCTTTAACAGTGGCGTGCGTACGGGTATTGAAATCGATATTTTTTAAAATAAAAATGGTACGCCAGTGGTTTTTTGCCAAATAAAAATTATTCTTGAATATTTCGTTCAATTCAAAACAAATGATATCTCCTGAATTGTTTTCCTTTAATGCGCCATTTTTGAGTAAAAAATAAAGGCCGCAAATTATTATTAATTTAATTGAAAAAATTAAACACATTAGGGGTAATGCACAACAACAGCTTACAACATAAACGTAACATTAAAACCAACGAAATGATTACAAAAATTGTTGTCACTTAGTATGCATGCTTCCGCCCTCCTTCACATGGAATTGCGCACTCGCTGAAATATCCCTGGAGTGTTTTTTATTCTATCACAAGCTGCAACTATTCTTTCTCTTAATTCCTGTAAAGTGTTAATGGGACATGTGTACACTAGTGTCTTAAGATAGCCCCACAAAAAGAAATCTAAACTGTTGAGGTCTGAGGACCTTGGTGACCATTCTTGAGGCCCACCGCGGCCAATCCAACGATTTGGATAAACAGTTTGTAACTAATTACGAACCGCTGCACTAAAATGCGCTGGTGCACCATCATGCATGTACCACATATTGTTTCTTATTACTAACGGAACATCATCAAGCAGCAAAGGCAACTGTTGTTGAAGAAAATTGAGGTAAGTCTGTCCGTCAAGTCATCCCGGCAAGAAGAATGGGCCAATAAAGTGGTTGCCAATAATTTCTGCCCATACGTTAACCAAAAATTGGTGTTCGTGAGCAGATTCATTGATTCAAATTGCGGATTTTGTGTAATTTTTTAAAGTTACCACTGACAAAAGGTCACACGCCTTGGAAAATCAATGGGAAGTAACGCCTGTACTCTTAAAATATGGCAAGGATATAACAAAAATCCACTAAAATTCTCTAAACAATTTGATGGCAAATATTTAAGTGCCTAGCGATTTTCCTCGTACTCGATTCAGGATATTCTTCGACTTCGTGTAGAACTGCTTCCTCAATTTCAGGTGTTCTCTTGATTAGAGGTCTACCTTTGAATGTTCCTTTTCGGACAGAACCAGTTTCAACAAGACGACGATGAATATTAGAAAAGGTTCGATTATCTGGCAAAGCACGATCGGGATATCTCTGGTGATAAATCCGTCTGGCTTGCTCAACATTACCATCGGCAAGGCCATATACGTAATGCATTTCCGCCATTTCTGCATTTGTATAATTCACCATTATTAACAAAATTGTAAAAACTAGATAATGAAAAAGATGTAACAGCGAACAAATTTGAATAACAGAAGCTTGTCAGATGTCAAAACCCAGTGACATATTCCGGAGCAACTAGATATTTATTGATAAATTGCATTCTTCACTTACTAAATTAATTTTCTCGGACAATAGAACGGTTTTTATTTTTTTACTCAAGAATCGCATCGAAGGAGGACAATTCAAGAGAGGTCATTTGTATTTAATTGAACGGGGAATTCAAAAATAATTTTTATTTGGCAAAAAACCATTGGCGTACCATTTTTTTCTTAAAAAATATAAAGTCAATACCCGTACGCACGCCACTGCTAAAGCTAAAAATTATTTTTGCATTGAAAAATATGCAACTTTATTAACTCTCACTACGTACTAAGTAGTACTTAAGCAATCGTTCAGACTGTGTTATGTTGGGAAATGATTCCGCTATTTACAAAACCAATTTTAAACCTATAAAAAGAGTTCCTCAAGGTTCAATTTTATCTCCTTTGCTATTTTCAATCTACATATCTGACATGGTCAAATCGGTAAAATTCGCAAGATAAAACAATATGCTCACAAACTTATCTCCCTTTCAATAAAACCACAATCCATATTGCACAACAACAACTAAATTCAGATCTCCAAAGAATTGACAGATTTGCAAAGCATCACAATCTTAAAGTAAACCCCTCAAAATCGCAAGTAATGGCTATAAATAAAGACAGTAATGAAAGAGAACATTTTGAACAAAATTCAGTAATTTCTATTAACAATGACATAATCCTCATGGTTCAGGAGACAGAAAATCTAAAATTAATTTGATATCTCGCTTGGCTTCGGCATTCATATAAAAAACAGGAAAAATTTAGCTTACATGCGACTAAAAAATATAAACAAATTAAAAAAACATTTATCAGCCAAACAAAAATATTATTTGTATAATACCTTAATTTTATCACCCTTTGACTATGGAGATGTCGTCTATGGTGATTCGCTATCGTCGCGATCCAAAAAATGCATACAAAAAGTTCATAATATATAGTTGCATGAGATTTGCGTTTGGAATTCCATATCGAAACCATATCTCTCCTTATCTGAATAACTACAACATATTAAACATGACAAATCGCAGAAAATATCACCTGTATTCTTTTATCTATAGGGTTATAAAAACAGGTCAACCGCTCTATTTAAGAGAAAGATTTGTGCCTTTGCCTGGTCCCCAGAGGAGCAGAAATAATCTCAATTTTATCGTCTTTCGACGATCGTTTGCTCACGTGGCGGTTCACTTATGGAATAATTTACGAACTTCAGTTAAAATCTCATCGGCAAAAACATTCTCAAAACTGACAAAATTGTTGTTACGGAATCACCAGCTACTTTAGCAGCGTTTGTGTGAGCAAAAACATCATTTTTACATTCCTACTCGCCAACAAGTTGTTCTTCGCGTCCGTTGCCAGCTCCCGGGGGTTCTTTCTTCGTTTTTGCCTTTTTGTGTTCCATCACCTCTTCATTTGCCTCTTTATTGTTTTTTTTTATTTTGTTTAAGGGCTTTTAGGGTGTTCAGGGCTTTCTCGCATGGACTCTTTGTATTAAAGGGTCCAATGTATCGGTTTTATATCGAGAGACTGTCCTTTTTCGTCATTGCTCTATATGTAGAATTTCCTTTGTTTATGATGTTTATATATGACGAAATATATATTTTGAATTTGAATTTGAATTTGAATTTGAATCTGAATCTGAATTTGAAAATTTGAATTTGGAAATTTGAATTTGAAAATTTGAATTTGAAAAATTGAATTTTAAAATTTGAGTATGAGTATGAGTACGAGTACGAGTACGAGTCCGAGTCCGAGTTTGAACTTGAACTTGAACTTGGATTTGAGTACGAGTACTCGTGCTCGTGCTTGTGCTCCTGCTGGTGCTCGTGCTCGTTGCTCGTGCTCGTGCTCGTACTCGCACTCCCTCTCGTGCTCGTGCTCGTGCCCGTGCTCGTGCTCGTGCTCGTACTCGTGCTCGTGCTCGTACTCGTACTGGTGCTCGTACTCGTACTCGTCCTCGTACTTGTGCTCGTGCTCGTACTCGCACTCGCTCTCGTTCTCGTGCTCGTACTCGTGCTCGTG